GAATTTAATTTGATATAATATTAATAATAATATAAGCTTTTGTTAATAATTATTGAAATTTTTCGTTTTTATAATCTTTGAATATATATAGTTTCATTTTAATATTAAAGAAGAAAGTTATATTAATTGATTTTTGATTTAATAAAGAAATTTCAATATTTGAACTTTCAGGATTTATTAATATTAAAATATTTTTATTAGATTTTCTTTTTTAAAATTAATTTAATAATATTTTTGAATTATAAAAACCCTTTATTTTGACATTGTTTATATTATTATAATAATTTCATTATAGAATTTCATTATATATCATAAAAATAAGATTAAAAGATTTTAAAAATAGAATTTTAAAAATGAAAGATTTATTTAAAGAATTTCTTTTGATTGGTTTATAATTATAATATTTTAATATCAACATCATTTCTTTCAAAAAGACTATAATATCAAAACTTCATAGTAAATAAAAATTGAAATCAGTGTAAATTCATTTTTAAAAAAACTTTAAATAATAAAAATAATTAGAAAATCTAATAATCTATATTAAAATCAATTCTTATTACTTTTTTAATTTTTTTGTTTTCTTTATAAAAGCATTAATATCAAAGAATCTATCAAAATATTTTTTAACTTTATAAATAAACTTTAATATATTTATTATTGAAAATTTATATATCAAAATTATATATTCTCTTTATATTATTCTTTAATCAGTTTTCATTTTAATAATTTGAAATTCTAAAAAATCAAAATAAATAATATTATTGAATTCTGAAACTGAATTCTATCTTATTTTAATGATTTTTGAATTTTAAATTGAATTTTATTTTAATGAAAAAAAAACGTGCATATAGTAGGGTCGTGCACGTAGCAGGGATATCGGTTATACGCTATATAAAAAGTCCGTAAAATCCGACGCATAAGTTTCTTTCGCTACGCTCCGAAACATAAGAGAGAAGAGAGTTTCTCGAGAAAGAAGAAAAAGAAGAAGAAGAAGAAGAAGAAGAAGAAGAAGAAGAAGAAGAAGAAGAAGAAGAAGAAGAAGAAGAAGAAGAAGGTGGAATGAGTATTCTAATCATCTATAAACTATCAAGGTATTTCACTAAAGATAGTTCATTCGAGTCTGGTACTGATGACTGACTCAGAGCGAGAGTATCAAATATTTACAACACTGTGGTGTGGTATGGTATGTGATTTTCCTATCACATTGTATTAAAACGAATTGGAGATGCAGAGGGTTATGAGATGAACGATTGAATGATAATGATAGAATGATAGAGAAGGAGATGAGTAGAGAGAGAAATAGGAATCTGATACATTACTTCCCTAATAACATAATTACTAGGTACCTAGGTATATAACATAACTCACAACACTATCATCTAATTTTCAATTCGAAATGTTATTCCTTTCCTGCATTTTGATCATTATTTGGCCCTTCGGTTATACTTATATATACATCTATCTATATACAACACGCACCTACACACGAGCCGAATGACATCGTCAGATAGAAGATAAACACAACTCCAGCGTATTCAATCACTCTTCTCCTCTCCTCTTCCTCTCCCTCTCCTTCTCCTCTCCTACAATGCAGAAGTGAAAGAAGCGAGTTTTAATACCCTGCACAAATTCGACACCCTATGCTTCACATCTACGACTATATTGCTACTCCTCCCATGACTCTCGAGTAGCTTAGCTCGTTGTTTTCTGCATTCTCAGATTCTTATGCGTAGTTTTTCTGAGTCGGTGTCTGAGCATCATTTACAAGAGATGCCTCGCTGAGCATCTTGATTTGAGGATCTGAACGTATTGAGAGATTGTGGTGTAGACTTGCAAGTATTGCTTCCGTGTAAAAATTCGTTAGGGTAGATGGGAGGATAGGTGATTTATCCCATAAGCTTGAACACATGGCGTCTTACCCATCTAAACGACGGAGGGTATGATGGCATACGTGTCGCTTCTGTGAATTCGACAGAATGAAACGGTCTAACACCGCTTCCAGCATCATCTCATGAGAATGTATAATATCAATCGATCACCCTCACTCATCCTCTGGACCGAAGCCAAACCAGATTTCATCCTTGGGAATACTTCCCTTTTCCAATTCCTCAACATTAACTTGGCACAATTTTTGGTTCTCCTCTGGAATCTGCATCTTCATAACTTCATCAACCCGATCCATGAATTGCATAGCCATGCCTGCTTCTCCATGCCACATCATATGACAATGAAATGCCCATACTCCTGGATTATCCGCTACGAACCGAAGAGCTAACCATCCAAATCCTTCTACAGTTGCTACATCCCTTCTGATTAAATTGTCTAACACATGTTCATGGCCTGGCAATGTACCACGACCTTCTGGTTGAAGGTGTAGAGCTTGGTACCCAGGGAAGTCACCGTGTCCTTGGCCTAGAACCCAGACTTTGTGACCGTGTAGATGCATGGGGTGGTTTCCTTCGTCGAAGTTTCGGATAATTACATCAACGACTTTGACTCCGGAATGTTGAATCAAATAATCGTTTTCCTGGTTATAAGATATCGAGTTTACGCCATTGGTCTGAGCCATGGATGTGAATGATTCATTCTTGGTTGAGAAACCATCGATTGTACGATGGAGTGTTGGTTGATGAACTTGAGGGCGGAAAGTAGAGCTATTGAAATAGCCTCGCTGAAGACGCCAATAATGTCTTTCAAGATTTGCGCGGATAAAATAGCTATGGTCTGCTATCTGAGGGGCAGGTTCAAAGGAGGTGGGTATGAATCTGGTGGTGTTCATGTCTTTGCACCATGTTTCGATTGGCTTCTTCCACTCTTGGGAAGTTGGTTTAGAGGTCATGGTTTGAGGTGTATCTTTCTCGGAGATATAACGGATGACAGCTCGAACTTCATCAGCTCCATTGGCTGGTAGACTGGGTTCTTTCCAGCAATGAGTTACCATTCTTGCCCTGAGCCAAAATGCATCAGTCGAGTTGTGATTTGTATTCACAATCATACTGTAGCGTTGTGCAGGACTGATCATCATGCGGGTTTCATATGATGGCATGATGTCCGTCCCATCAACTTCAGTGATGGCAAACTCGTGCTCGTCCAAGCCCACTTGAAACCAAGCGAATGCGCCAGTATTGATAAATCTTAGTCGATGATTTTCATTTGCGGCCAAATCGAATGAAGGGAGGATTGCTGTCGAGTTGTCACATGTTCGATGTGGTAGAACGGAACAGTCTACACTGTTAAGTCCATTAATTAGTGCGCCGTCAGGAATTGGTGAGGCTTCACTATCAGGCTCAAGGTTTTTCATCGTGAGTCCACTACTCAACTCGTGATAATAATCTTGGAGCATGATTACTCGATCTGTAGAATATGAGATTGGCTGTAAAGTCTTCTCTTTCTTAGAATGGATAATCAGAGGCCCGTATAGCCCATCAGAAATTTGTACAGCTTGATGTCCATGATAGTAATAGGTGCCAGATTGACCCGTGACGTTGAACTGATATCGAAATTTATTGCCTGGTGCAATAGGACACTGTGTTATGCCTGTAGTACCATCCATATGGTTGGTTCCATTTTGAAAGATGCCATGAAAATGTATAGATGTAGCGTTGACGGCTTGATTATCAACATCGATAATTATAACATCTCCCTCGTTACATTCGATCATTGGACCAGGAAATTTGGAGTTAATGGTGATCATTGGTCGAAGAACTCCGTCTGGATTTGCCTCGATATCTTTGATGGTCCAGTGATATGTACGAACTTTTGGCGAGGCATCAAAATCCCAATTTGGATTCAATTCGTAGTCACTTGCTGACCTACGGAAGCCGCTGGATGTTGGATTCGGATAGTCAATCATTGTGTTACCTTTAGAGGTGATATACGATGCAATCTTCCACATTGTGAGGATAGTTGCTATCGCTGTTGAAATTGATAGGAATACCACCCAGGGGGTTCTTAGATGCCATTTTGTTTCGAACTCAGGCCCAGGTGTTAGTTTACCCTTTTGATTTCCGCTTGACAACAATCCATCTTGATCTCCATAATCATCCTCTCTCCCTTGCATTGCAACATCATCCAACGTTTCGCTTGACCCTGAAGATCTGTTGGGTGATACGCTGTTTCTCTTATTCGACAACAGTCTCATTTTTTGATTTCCATAACCATCTTTTCCTCCTCTAACCTCCTGCATTTCAACATCATGTAGACTTTCGTTGGATCCTGAGGATCGCTCATTGGTAAAGACAGACATGGTTGGATCTTTAGACAGATGCTCATCAATCTTGTTCGTGATGTTGCTGAGATGCTGCAAATTTGTCAAGCACTCCAAGCCTTGGAATTCTAAACTCAAGGCAATGACGTTCCCCTCTTCAACTAAATGAATTAAAGTATGGTTGATGTGATGAAGTTGATCAACACGATGTCATCTTTCTTGTCTGCGGAATGACATGGAAATAACCAGATTGTTTCTGACCAGAAATGGTTCAAATATAGGAAACCAATGTCGTCAATATACAAAGTAGAATAAAAAGCCGACCTCAGAGCCGGACTAGATTAGTATAGTGAGTTTTCAAAGTGAGCAGTTCAACCGAATTCGGATTGGCCATAAACTGGATGCACTTGTCTCGGGAGCGGAGGGAAGATCAGTTACGTTTGCACGCTTTAGATAATGATGACTGCAATCAATTACTCGTAGATTATAGAACAACTAAAGAAGTAAAATGATGATCCATTGAATCAATTGCCAACAAATTATTGGAGTGGCATCTAGATTCCTCTCACCCCTCTCCGTTATCCGTCAAGTTCTCCAATAGGATGACACGTTTTCCCCACGGGACTGCGAGATAAGCATTTCTTAGGTTCACCAGGTGGTTTGGATGTCAGTTTTTAGCGGGCTGTACCTCGGCTCGCTAGGCCGAGATAGGCAATCGAGCTAATCAACTAAGCACATACCATTTTAGCTACAGGAACGAACGTTAAGTCTAACCACGAAAGAGTTGAGTAGATACCACTTCCACACTACCTCGATACTAGGGAAGAATATTCTCCGCCAAACTTGTTGATCACCTAGTTACCACGGTCCACGGGAAGGGTGTAGGAAAACTCTTCATTCCAGCTAACCTTCCCACTGTGAGTTAGTTTAAAATGACAATATCAGACGAGATAAAAGCTGATGGATTGTATGATGCCGGGTGCTAAGGAGCTCACAGATGACGACAAGTGTTTGCTTGTACCCGACTATCTTCTATACCACGAAGCGTCAGTTGCTAATGAGTACATCATGTGTGGTATCTATAATCAATTGAAGATCGACGGTTGGCTACTCTTCTACCCCCAAGAAATCTTGTTTGACAAGGGTACTTTGGGTACTACCATCGACTGGCACTTTGCAGAAGATACTCCGCATAACAACTAACAAGTGCGAAGGGACTAGATTATCGCCCCTCCCCGCTCTTCCAGGAGATCGCGGCACAATGCCATCCTTGTCACCCTACAAACTGCAGTATCTGCGTGCTCGTGCATGAATTCTATGGCCAGGAATGAAAGTACTGGATAAATCGGATATGCTCAATTCTTGATGAGGCAGGTCAAAAAGATGCTTCAACGTATGACTTTCGTCCAATGTCATCTCAACTTACCAACATCTGGAATCTTATAGGTTGAAAGATTTCTAACAGGTTGTCCAGCCATGACTCTTTTTACACCGCAGATATGGCGTTACTGTCCTTCCTCTTTACTTTACCGTTTGTCCGAGGTGGTTGATTTACTAGTTGCCATCTACCAGGGTGCTAGTTATATACATAGTGTTGGTTCATTTCCAGCATCTTGGATTTGGTAATTAGCTTGAAAACTTCGATAGTTCCATCGAGTGATGTTTAGATATTCCATGGGAAGTATCGCCTTGGCTTAGTGCTTCCAGTAGTCAGTCAGCTTCAGCATAAATAACATCCAGTCCCCGGTCTTTCAATTAATTTTTGGCCAGCAACTTCCAAACCTGCAAAGTTATCAACATGCGTTTCAGAATTGCCTTCTACAAGCTCGTCGCTCCCCTGCTGCTCACAGTGGCACTTTCAGCTACAATCTCCCCGAGAGTTGAAGACCTTGCCAACACTATTCCCGATGGACACATTTCTCACGTGGAAGCCTTCGGCCATAAGGCTGTTCTCCACGCTCAACAGTATGCATCACACAGAAGTCCTACCAGTTGCGTCGAGGGAAAGGTGTTCAATCGAGTTTTCAACATCTGGTTTGAGAATACTGATTACGAGATTGCTATTGCAGACCGTAAGTTGCCCTTCCACAAAAGAGAAATAATTACATGTGTACTGATATCTATCCAGCAAACTTCAAACACTTCTCAGAGATGGGTATTACATTGACAAACTATAACGCGGTAACACACCCAAGTGAGCCAAATTACCTCGCATCCTCCGCAGGGTGAGTTTGAATTCTATGATAGATTATCCGCTCACAATAACTTACATTGATGCAGTGATTATTTCGGTCTCGATGGTGATCCATTTACTACTGTTCCTGCAAACGTTTCCGGTGTAGTCGATCTCCTCGAAGACAAGGGAATCACTTGGGCTCTGTACCAGGAAGATATGCCATATACTGGATTCCAAGGTATGGAGTGGCGCAACGAAGTCACCGGTGCCGATGCATATGTTCGCAAGCACAAGTAAGTTTGATCAAATCACCAAAACATTCCAGCGCATTGACATCCACCCAGCCCTGAAGTCCTCTTCAACAATGTCGTTGACAAGCCCGAACGTCTTCAATTGATCAAGAACCAGACCTTGTTCCACCAAGATGTTGCTGCAAACACACTACCCCAATGGATCTTCTTTACCCCCAACATGACCTCTGACGCTCACGATAGCTCCGTCACCGTCGCAGGAGAGTATCTCTACAACCTCCTTAACCCCCTCCTTACCGATCCTCACTTCATGAACAACACTCTTGTCATCATTACCTTCGATGAAAACGAGGTCTACTCCCGTCAAAACCGTGTTCTTACTATCCTCCTTGGTGACGTCGTTCCAAAGCACCTCCACAACACCACCGACGACACTTACTACAACCATTACTCTAAAATCTCCACCATCGAAGCTAACTGGGGACTCCACACTCTCGGCCGCTATGACGTCGGCGCTAATGTCTTCAAGTTCATTGCCCAGAAGACCGGCGACAAGATCCGCAGCTGGGCTCACGGTGTCCTGGAGACCCGCTACTTCAACCACAGTTATCCTGGTTTCCTCGCCGCGACAGTTGGATGGGCACCCCAGCCCGTTCCAAACACGAAGTTGGTGGTCAATAAGCGAACCGTCTTGCCTGCCATCAAGGAGTACTGGGGAGGACAGGATGCGGATTCCAAGTATCAAGGACAGTTGGAGATCCCTGATGGATACAACTACTAAATCGCCATATCAAGGGGCTAGTTGTGTGGAGTAAGGGCGAAGGATTTACTACTGGTAAAAATCAACTTGTTGTATCGTCTTAAACCTTTCTAATCACACATTTGATTTTACTACTTGATTTCGTTGATTGATTTTGCAATTCTTTCGGTGCCGCGTAAGGGGGAAATAGGTCGGAGTACATTCTGGTTTGGAAACCCTTTTCGCGCTACATAAGGAGGATAAACAAAAGGTTGGAGTAAAGTTTGCTTAAGTTATATTTTTGATATTTTCACGGGGGCGTATGGAGAACGGTGTATAGGCCAGGCTGGGTATATGATTTATAGTAATAGTCGATCTGGGAATTGGGTGGAGAGTAAGAGGTTCTTTAGGCTTTTAGGATTTCTTTGATTCGGCCACTGGATTGGTGCCAAAAAATGAGAAAAAATAGATGAGAAACCCCCAAAACTATTGTTTTTTACTGCTCTGGTGATGTGATAGGGTGTGATGTTTACATGTGTTAAAACGTTTCTGGGAACCTTGGAATTATAGTGTCTTATCTTTGTGCAAATAAAGGGAAAAATACGCGATGGATGATTAAAGTGAGCTTAACTTTGAAGCTTGCAAAGAGTTGACGATGCATTCCACTGGGAAGTATCATGACTTGTCTGTTTATCAACTTCTTTTGTCCAAAATACACTAATATAGTTTCGAAATTATAAATTATAAGATCGAGTTCTCACGTTATGCAGATCACAGTGCAGCAATTCATGAAATCCTGCGCAAAAAATGTCTTTAATAGGGTATATCTCCTGGTTTTTCCTAGTGTCCGATATTATCAAATTCCCAACCTTCCCTTTTTCTACGCCGCTGCTGCCGGTTTAGCGACACTATATGCAGTGAAGAAATCCGGATCATTTGCTGCTTCTTCTTTGACCTATAATGTATGTAGTTAGAAATGTATTCCACCAATGTGTAGGCTGAGTATCTTGGAATATGGATACCGGGACATGTTGCTCAAGTCCCATTTCCCTCCTAGGATAACATTAAACAGGGAAGAACTTACAATATCCAGACCTCCAACAAGTTCTCCGTCCATCCACAATTGTGGGAAAGTAGGCCAATCCGCAAATTCCTTAAGACCCTGCCTTACCTCATCATCGGCCAAAATATTAAAGAATCCATATTTTACCGACTTTTCTCTCAGTAAAGCGACAAGTTGACGAGAGAAACCGCACTGGGGTGCAGAAGGTGTTCCTTTCATGAACAACATCACAGGAGCTGCCTTTACAAGATTGGATAAGCGAGCGTGGAGATCTTCTTTAGACATTGGTTCTTCGGATTCGGTAGAAGTGGTAGGTGCGGTGGTTGATGGCGCAGTAGAGGCATGGTTTATACTGGGGACGGGCTTGGCGGATGTGCCGTTTGTGGAGGTGGAGGGAGAGTTGGCGTGTTTCTCAATGGCATTGCGGACTTTGGTGGCGTCGCTGCCGGAGACGGTCTCGAGAACTACATTGTTGCGGGTGAGGACGAGGTATGGAACCGCGGTTACGTCAAAGGCATCAGAGACGGAAATAACTTCTTCGGCATTCATGGAAACCCATGAGGTGGTTGGAGGTGTAGTTGGGGGATAGGATAGCGCGAGGGTTCGGAGGACCGTTGTCCTAGTGTGAGAATTAGTATGGTCGTCTGATAATGTGGGCAACTGGGAGAAACTGGAGCGAAGCTAAAGTAGGAGAGAGGGGTTGATGACGATGAATCCGGGGGAGTCTTACATTTGCGCGCATGGTGCTGCCCATGGTGCCTAGTGTTTGTCGCATTAGTCAAGGTTTGAAGAGGGCGGATGAGGGGCGGTGGATGAAGAGACATACGTGAAAGTTAATGATCTGCAGAGTCGATGATGGCAGAGATTCAGTGTGCTTCTGCCATTCTTCTTCTGTTGTGATATCGATAAGAGTTGACATCTTGATACTTTTCTCTGTTTGCGGTGGGGTGGATGTTGCTGGTGGGGGGTAGTTTCGTGGCTTTGTTTAAGAAATCGTGGGGTGTATAGAGTTTCTCTTGTTTAGTTTACGGAAAGTAGGTAGGTATCGAAATGTTAGTCGAATCAATGATGAAGAGACGAAGATTTAGTTAAAATAGTTCTGGTTGATGGGTGAGTGAAGTTGCGAGGCCGGAGATATATTTTCTAATCGCTATCAAGATGGCTAGCCTCATCGCGTCATCCCAAGCGACAAATTTCTCAATCGTTCCATAGGAAAAGGACAATTACAAAAATGATTAATAATCCAACATGATTGGTTTGTTGTGAGATCTGCTGTATGGTAATAATATCTTTCTGAAATTGTTTATACGGTGTATGTTGGAATTTAATTCTCGGAGCACCATAGAAAATATGAGATCCATTATAAAAGTCTTTTGCAAGCTAAATGTGTGTGCTATGCTCCCAACGAGCTTCGTTGGTGGTAGTACTCGATGAACTTTTTATTTTGGAAATTTCTCCCGGTGAAGATTATTCCCACGATACCTAGACATTAACCTTTCTACACTCAAGGTGATCATCACCCGGCCTTTCTCCAACATCATATGAGCAAACCTGTACCGATTTCACTTACGTACATACCGGTCACTACTATACAGAATACTAAAGTCTCTGGTCTTGTTCCTACTTTATGCTTATATGGTTTCGAGATTTTGAACTATCCACACTCAGATTTGAGCTAATCTGGGAGGATACGCCATCTATGCCAAGACATCACCAACCTCATTTCCACGATTTGGGGGCCTCACGACATATTTCTTGATCCCATACCTCAATCGAACCAATTTCAAAGTTTACTTACTCGTACTGCCAGAAAGTATGCAACTCCGACGGTATGAAAACCAGGTTAGTCCTCTTGTAGTTTACCATCTTGTGGTATGTGCATCTAGCGTCGGAGTTGCATACTTTCTGGCAGCACGAGTAGTTAGTATACGCACTCGAAGCTAGCTCTGAGGTTGCCCTTCTAAATCCTTGTTGCCATGTGGATGACGAGGATGTAGTTCGGGCCAAGGTGTTTTTGATTTTCTCTTCCACTGTTCCGAGTTCCAACTTCCATGTGCCGTTTCCCAGGTGCCGTCTCCCGAACTTTTTGAATTGATCTGTCTCTGTGATCGTCAACTCGTTCTCTTTGTATCGTCCATCTGTTTTAACTTCCGATAAACTTTCCGCACCTGAGCCAGCTTACACTTTCTCTTTCGTGCAACCATGAAATCAGCGGACCTTCCCTTTCTCGAATACTCAAATTTTCAGCGAGTGATCTCAATTCGAGTCTCGGTGATCCCCGGACAATCCGTTTCAAATCCACATGTCTGAACATGTCAAAAATTGTACTGTTTTCGATGTTTTAAATGGCAACGCCTCAACTTGTCGTTGTCATTGGGGGTCAGTGACATACTGATTCCAGCTCACCGTATGCTGCATAGACAAGGCACCGATCGTACCCCGTGATATTCATGAAAAAGAACCCACTTGTCATGATATTGAATGACTAGTTAGGCCACAAGATTGACTCTGCTTGATGGAGGAAACAGACATTCGCTTGAATGCCTTGGGTGGACAGGAAATTGGAAGATGTAAAAGGGTATTTCCTAATACATAACACTGCTAACAACCATCTTGGTATAGATATGAACTTCCAATGCTCAACGACTGCATAAATCTGAAGGCCTTGAAGTGAAGAATAGAGCCAGCCTTTGACAAACGTGGCTCTGCACATGAAATGGGTATCGCAAAAACCGTGGCCCACTTTGACATCGTCACCCACCAACACAGCAAAAGCCAAAAGTTAAATAAAAACATACAACAGTAAGGATTCGCTGATGGTCACCCACTCAACTACTAATTTACCGATTTGAGTCTTGAGTATGGCAGAGCGGACGGGATGCCCTAATTTTCTCAATCTATGGTCGTATGTGGAAGATTGAGAGGGAACTTGATTCATATACCAGTCTGGAAGTTTTCAGGGTGTCCTGCTCTTTCACTTCGACTACTATGACAGCGACTTGTGTCCCTCAAAGTTCTTGTTCAATCTCTGAGGAAATGGAATACTCTCTGAGCACTCGGTAGTCAATGATGTGTTTACTGCAACGATAATCGTAGAGCAGGTTGTCAGCAACATAGTACTCGTGCTGCCAGAAAGTATGCAACTCCGGCACTATAAAAACCAGGTTAGTCCTCTTATAGTTTACCATCTTGTGGTATGTACATCTAGCATCGGAGTTGCATACTTTCTAGCAGCACGAGTACACAACGGCTCTTCTTCGTTTCTTGAGTTATCGATACTTTATGTACGAAGTACGAATGAGCCGTAGTATTAAACTAGGACTACCCCAGGACGATCAATATTGAACTAGACCTTCAACGGATAGCGCAAAACGACATGGATTTTCAGCGATTGCAAGATTGATGTTCGGTTTCCCCAGGTCACTGGTGCTCCACTGCATACCTGCGCGTACACAGCAAGGTGCGTGTATTGTAGGACGGCACGTGGACGGATACCATAATACTTTGCAATTGGAAAAGCACAAACTTGCACGCCACGCAGCAAGCTTGTTGTATAGATAAGGGGGAGAACGCGAAGCTGCTGGTAACCTGGCAGCTGGAGTGACATCTTGAAGCCAAGTCGGATATGTGACGGATACAGGGGGATGGTCAAAGTGGCTGACAATACTAAAAGTTGCTGCTGCTTTTAATGAGTCAAGGTTTGTATCAGGGATTATTCTGCAGTATCAATCTGGGTCACAAGATCGGATGACGGAAACGACGTAAAACCAGCAGCAACGATAATACAATGGAACTCTTGCGAAGGTGACGATCGGGGGAAAGGTGGCTGAGGTAGCGTATTAAGCGTATACTAGGACCACTCACGCCCTATAAGGATTAGATTGGGGGATTTGGAAGCAGGGGAAGCTGAACGATCGCTGTTCAGAGGATTAAATAGCAAATCTCTTTCAGAAGTTGCATGGAACAATGGCCGTGTTCCGGGTTGGCGCATCAGATGGTAACTGCATTGTACCAAACAAAAGGGCCACAATTGCTGAGCCATGCTGATGAGGTGTTCCAAGGTTTGATCTGCGCCTTCTTTCTATTTGCATGCTGCATATTGAGCCGGTCGAGCCAATCAAAAAAGAAGGACTTGCATGACTTCAAACTGCGAAATGATTACCCTATAGCTCTACGATATAGCTACTGTATGATACAAATGTAAGGTACTGGCTGTGCTTGGAAGAGTGGCACCTACGAGTATAAATCGTATAATTACCCATCCGAGCCATCCTGAGACCGTTGACTCGTCCTAATAACTCTTTCTCTGATCCAAAACCACCTGGGCAAGATATTAAACTTCACAAGCATTGAAAGCATCAAAAGCCTCAAAGCTTATTATTAATAAGAGGAAGAGAGAGAAGAAACGAGACTGCCTCGACTGCGTATTCACATCCACTCCAAAATAAATAAATTCCAAATACCTTGGCGTAATTAATAGGTCAGTGGTATTAATGTTCTATTTCGATCTTTTATCACTCGTCAGCGATTAGGTACTACCTAGGCATTTTTATAGCGAGTACAACCCAATTGGTTCCCTCCTTGGCAGTGTCTCGAACGAACATCCTTCCTCCGGTCTACCGATTTTTAGCTCTTATTGATGAATCCAATCTAATCTAACTTTGAAGTTTGGCCTCTCTTCTTTCTCAACGTCAACTTTTTCACTCGCATCGTTTACTTGTACCTGTTTATTCTATCAATCAATCGCATCAATCGCCTCTCTCCGTAAGTTTGCGCATTTTTTCCGTCACAGCTTCAACGTTCACGAAACAAATACTGACCAAAGACTCTGTCCTCCTCGTTATAGATCAATACAATGTCGAACCAAGGTTACTACAACAATCAACAACCCCAGTACGGTGGTCAACCTCAGTATCCTCCCAACGTATGTTTTCGCCTCTATTGTCACCATCATATCGATCTCCTTGCGATCTCTTGGATAATCTTGGCACATGGAATGGAAGAAGAAGAAGAAGAAGAAGAAGAAGAAGCTGACTTTGATGTGATACATAGGCTTATGGAGGACCACCACCACAACAAGGCTACTATCAACAAGGCCCTCCACCTGTGAGTTCATTCGCACATCCTCCATCCGATACACTGTTCTGTATAATGCGATGGCTGTAATTCCTCGATACCTCAGCGCTGTCGCAATGCCGAGAAACACCGAGATAGCTTCACCGTCGCATGATACAATGCAATGTAGCTCGTATCTAAAAGTACTTTAAACTAATAATTATCTCTTTAGCAACAAATGCAATATCAACAACAACCTCCTCCAAAGAGTTCCGGGGGTGGACAAGGCTGTCTCGGTGCTTGTTTTGCAGCCCTCTGTTGTTGTTGCGTAATGGAAGAAGGATGTGAGCTCTGTGTTGAATGTATGTTATTCCCTTTACCCTTCTGCTCTTGCTCACCTCGCCACAATCAAACAACAATCCACTAACTCTTCCTTCACAGGTGCCGAATGTTGTTAGAGCAAGTCGCTGCCAAACCCACGTATTCTCCGCTATGATCCATCCATATAAACGCCATCTCGAAATTGCCTAATCCACTGGCGCCTCAGCACATCTCCATCTCCAGTATCGCGATTCAATCGAATAAATCGACGGCCTTATACTTGCCCATAATGTTTTCCCTTCCCGCAAGCTAGCAACGATACAACGCCCTCCAAAGTCCCGACTCGTTTTCCACAATCAAATCGCCTTGTTCATAGATTCATATGATTGAAGTAACAAATTCGGCTTTCCCACGCATTTTTCCTTCGTCTCACATATCCAGTTTTTTCATGTTCTTACAGGTCTGCGTCTCTTTTCAAATGGATCACAGACTTTCTGCTTCCAGCTAGTTTTTAGGGTTGGTTGGTTGGTTAAGATAAGATAATGAATGACTTTTGTTTAATAATTTATGCACTATAGCTTGGTTTCGTGTGATGTCTGAATTTATGTGATTTGAATAATTTCATTTTCGTGCTTTGCTACTCATGGATAGCACAATGTGACCGCCACCGTGGATGGCAAATACGTGGAAGGATCTGAGAAGTATTCAAAAATGCAGCAGCCAGAAATCCTCCTTAAGCTTCAATGGATTGGTAAACGAAGAATACTTGATCACTTTACCGAGAGACAAAGACAAATGAGCATGTACAATGCAATTCACACAACATTAGACAGCAACATCGCGGAAAGAATTTTCAATTCTCTTATATTTAATAGAGACCAAGACCACCGTTATTTCGCTTTTTTTCTTCTTCACTAGTTGTAGTTAACTGCCTAGAAAAACCATTCATGCCACCCTCATCTACAAAATCTCCTGAATTTTTATAATGTTGAATCAATTTCAACTACATCACAAGTACCCCTCCCAAAGACGTCAATCGCTTCATGTGCATTTGCGCTTCGCTTAATTTATTCCAACCAATGTAGATACTTATTGGTCAAGTTCTACATAGTTTGCTGGGAAGAGACCAGAGTGTCCTTTGAAGTGACCGAACCACCAATCATCATCCGGGAATTCCTATTGACTGGGTTAGTAATCGTTCTTGAATGCGTTGAGAAAGGAAGGGGGAGCGAAGGAGGTGAACATATAAGCGAAACATACCAAATCAGTAATTGTAGCACCTTCTGGGAAACTCAATTCATTATCCTCGGCAGCCTCATAGTCGTATAAGGTAGTAGCCGTAGGACCAGCAGCGTGAGCAGGTGCGGCTGCTGGAGCTGCTGGAGCTGGAGCTGAAGCATGTGCAGGTGCAGGTGCAGGTGGTTCTGGCTCATCGTAATGGCTTGGAGCTGATGCCGGAGCTGGTGCCGACTCTTCTTCATCTTCTACGAGTTCTACATAGTTGCTTGGAAAGAGACCACTTTCGCCCTTTGAATTGGTGCCCATCCACCAATCATCATCGACCATTTCAATGTTGGTGACGTATTCACCTTCAACCAATTCCAACTCATTATCTTCAGCCTTCTCGTAGTCGTATTGAATCAATGCGCGTTTACCGCTAGCAGCGGATGCTTCATTGACGGCAGGTGCGCTGTGTCCAAATGTTTCGGCTGCCACAGCTGCTGCAGCGCCACGGGCAGGGTCATATCCAGCAGGTTCCTCGGTGAGATCTTTCTCTTGGGGAACGTGTTCAATGGCCTGTTCAAGAGTTGGATGGTCATGAAGTTCCTCCGGCGCTTCCATTTCCTCAGGTTCTCGTCCACGTGCTACTGGCATAGCAATACGAACGGGAGATGGCTCGCGTTCTGGTTCCTCTTCTGGTTCTGGTGTAGGACTGCGAGGAACTGGGGGAGGTGCGGGAATATTTGGTCTGCTGTATTCCTCCTCCTCAGACTCAACAGGTGGAGGACGGGTTGGAAGTCCAGGCATTGGAACTGCACCAGGCCTGCTGGAGGCGTTGACAGGTGGAGGTGGTGGAGATTGATCTCGGTCTCCAGTAATTGATCGTGGCATTGCTGGTGCACCCATTGGTGCTTGTCCTCCCTTGAATCGGTCCCGAATGGCATTGATACCTCCAGCTGGAGAATCTGGTACTACTTGCTCCGCTTCTGCTTCGCCAGTTTTCTGTTGGTCGATACTGCCTGTAGCAGATTGCCCGGTGGGATTTGTAGCAACTGGAGCCCAAGATTTGCCAGTATATCCACTCTTCCACTGTCCTCCTCCACTTGGCTGGCTTGCAATGGGCGATGCTACGTTCTGGGGAGGAGCATCGCCAGCAGCACTTAGTCCTCTTTCTCGAGCTTTCTTCTCTGCCCAGATTTGAGCAGGAGTCTTACCACCCTCGTCAGCAAATGTTCGACTGGCTGCACCGATTGGAGCAGATGCTGCCGGGGCTGCTGGCGACTGAATTCCAAAGCTTCCCGGAGTTGGGGCTTTCGTTCCAGCGAAACTGCTGGCAGTGGATCCAAACCTGTTCGCGACCTTTGGTTTTGGTAGAGTTGTGAGACGCTCTGATTGAGTGAAAGCCGCAGACCTATCTGCAAGAGACTTTGGTGGTTCATCACTGCTTGGGGCGGGTGAGCCAGTCGCGGCAGGTGAAACCGCCCTGGGACCGTCGTCGCCAGGCTTTTGAGCTTTGGCACGGATCGCGGCAATATCCACTTTACCGACTGGTTCGTATGCTCCCTTAACTATCGTTGGTCGATCATCACCACTGCTTTTAGCTTGAGCACGTAGTGCTGCAATGTCTACCTTTCCGATTGGTTGATAACCTCCTTTGACAACATCAGGAGCAGATCCACTGTCTGCTCCACTGTCATTACTGGATCTTGAAGCGGTTGGCTGTTTGGTAAGCTCTGCCATATTAACTTTTGTGGGTTTGTATGCGGGCTGGACCTTTTCAAGTTGTGTCCTGGTGATTTGTGGCGCATCTGCGCCCCATCCATCTCCGTCTACGTTGTCATTCTGACTTGTCCTTGATCTCGAACCTGCCAATGGATTGAAACCCGACACACCGCCCGACCGTGTAGGAGTGAACACTGGTTTAGAAGCTGTTGGGGGACGAGGACCAGAGGAAGGCGGTGGTGCTGAGCCCGAGGAATATTTCGCGCCCGATGCATCTGCTACTTTTTGAACAATACTTTCTGGTGCCAAGTCGGATTCTGATCGAGCTGTTATTTGAACATGGTAGCCCTAGATAGATTTATAAGTATGAATAGATGTGAGATAATCAGATAGATGAGTACGAACATGAAGAATCTTGGATACTGCTGCAAGGTGGCTCGTGAAATAGCCTTTTGTTCTTTCGGGAACACCCTCACCGCACTATAGGTTATGTTAGGACCTCCTGTCATTCCAACACTCTTTTCAATTGTATGACTGACCCATCCAATAAGTACGTATTTCGGGAGTGTTGTATTAGGATCCTTGACTTTGACAAATGCAAATTGAACTCGTCCTTCCGAGAAATCCTCGATTAAGTCGATGAGTTCTCCCTCTGGATTTCAAACCATTAGACGATTTGCTTGGAGTCAACAACAATAATGCAAACATACCTCCAGTGCTCTGTACCTTTAGCACACTCTCCTTTCCACCACTATCTTGTTGAAAAGCATTTACAAGAGGAGCTGAGACTGAGAACAAAGCCCACTGTCCATAAGTCGGGCTGGACGCCGCAGCTCCGGAGGGTGCAGCAGAATTGACCACTCCAGTATATGATGATTTAATAGAAGGGCCATTCGTGGATGTATTGAGAGTTGCCATATTGGCAATAGTTAGAGGTGGGGTTAAATAAGAGGTAAATGGTTTGAGGGAAAATGAAAAGGAGTGAGAGGTTGAATGTTTGGAAGTATTGTATTGTATTGGTTTGTGCTCGGCTTGTTCAAGCTGTCGTTATGTTATGTCATGTTTCAACAATCATTGTATGTGTATTATATAAGCCCGCCTGGAGCATCTTTTTGACCGCCACTAGAATCTGATTTCTGGTCAACCAACCATAAATCGACCGCCTCACTTTTCTATGTATGCTTCACTTATCTCACACCCACCCACCCACTACAATTGAAAGAATATAAGATAAAATATCAGGAGCGCAACATATTTGAGGAAAGGTTCATTTTCCACTTCACCATTTTATTCAAGATATTCGACTGCACCTCCATTTCTTTTCTGTGGTAACATCAAGTTTTATCCCTGCCTTTCTATCAAATGACGGTCGCATAGCTTATCCATAGCTTGCTCCTGTCTCGAATGAGACTGAAATTCTTCCTTTTGGACCCAAATTCTCATAGGATATCATTCTCGACAACCCTCTGTTCCTCCCAATCCGGTCGCATAGTTATCAGTATATTGATCTTGGTCATTGCGATTTGAAATCAAATCCGCAAAGTGTTTGACAAGTGTTAATTTCCTATTCTCTCTTTTGACTTGATACATTCCAAATACGAACCAAGGAATTAACCTTGGTTCAGAATGGATACTCCAGGCAGCGATATACCTTCTGGGAGTACAGGTATATCTACTACAGACACATCCACTGCGACATCTCCCAAGCCTACTATGTCAAACGTCAACCCAGACGCAGGATCATCCAATAGCCATATTATCTCGATTGTTGAGAACGACGACTCAGCCTCAGATGTTTCGATGTCCGCAGATTCTGAGGATGAAGATGAAGATTCCTTGGATAACCTGGCCGTACAATCCACCTCGAAAGCCCAAATTCCGGAAAAAACTAATGGTCCCATGTTGCAGTCCTCCCAGCCGGAAACTTCCAGGAAGCGGAAATATTTAGAATCCAAAGAGGATTGTACAAATGGCCACATTGACAACACAAAGGTCCTTGAGGAAATGCGCAAACGTCTAAAGCCAGATGAGATACAGGACCATTGGAGAAGTGAGGGCCAATTACATTTAAATCGGTCTGTTCTGCCAGCTGAAATTTGGCATCACATTTTCACTTTCACTGCTCCTAAAACTTTGGGTAACTTGTTACAAGTAAACAAGTCTTTCAATAAATATCTTGATCCTTCATCAGATA